ATTTCAACTCTATCTTCTAAATATTTGGAAACTGCTATTTTCATTCTTACTTGGTTTCTTTTTATCTTCCCTAAACTCTGGCAGTCTTTTTCTTTTTTTTTCATGTAAAGTAAAATCTCTCCGGCATGTCATCTTTTTGGATGCTTTACGAGGAAACTTTTTTATTGAAACCAGATTGAAAATGGACTTCCCCCAAGATTTTTCACAGCCACTGAAAGCTTCTTTTTAGTCCTCTAGAAGGAGTCTTCCACTCTTCCCATGATAATGTGAGAGAGGAGGACAGTCCCCATCTTTCCAAGATTTTAAACCTGTGACTCTGATAGCTATTCTTCCTAACGGCTCACACTGATCGAGTGTGGGCATGTGCTTGCATTAGAACACATTTTATTCATTTTTAATGTTTGTCTGTGGTCTCAAATGACCTTATCTCTTTCTCCCCAGGGGATTTTTCCCTTCACTTTTTTCAGGATGCCCAAGTGTTGGTGGGGTTTCTCTTTTCTACCCAGCTCCTTACAATTCACGTTCTCACATGGTAACCTCCGTACCACCTTCCCTCCCATCCCAAATCGTTGCTAGACAGACTCCAAGAGCCTGGTGATGGCTTCCTGGTGGGAGCACTGATTGATGCTAATTGACAAGGGAAACAGTTTCCAACCAAATCCCTGGAATTCTCTCCAAGTCATTGAGTATATGTTCAGTTTAATTGGCATAAGGTGAGAAACAGTGGTGTGCTGGCTTGAGCAATACTGAAGTTCAGCTTCAGGCACAGCTGGATCCAGGTGTCTAAGTGATACCCTTGTGATACCAGATTTCTAACACTGGATTTCCAGGCTCTTGGTCTCCACGATTCAATGAATGAATCGACGGACCATAGAATGAACAGTGAGGTTTTATTTACAGCACAAAGAACCAAACCTCCTTGCAGGGCAGGATGCAAGTGTTACAACTCTTACGAAAAGAACTCTTACAAAGAGCCAAGCCTCTTTGTAGAGCAGGATAGATGTGCTACAGCTCTTACAAAGGACCAAGCCTCTTTGCAGGGCAAGGTCAGCAAAGGGCCAAGCCTCTTTGCAGGGCAGGATCAGCAGCAGAAGTGTTACAACTCCTACAAAGAGCCAAGCCTCTTTGTAGAGCAGGATCAGCACTAGAAGTGCCGCAGCTCTTGCTTCTTCTTCTGGACGGTCTGCAATGGTCCGCTGAAGTCTTGTTTTTCTGTTCTATCTTCCTGGAAGGTCTGCGACGATCTGCTGAAGTCTTGGTTCTTCTGCTCTATCTTCCTCAAAGGTCTGCGAAGATCTGCCCCCAAGCTCTCTACTCATGGGCCTTATATAGGTGTAATAGCTTAGCTGTGATTGGTCTATAAAATGGACCAATCAGGAGCAGGATTGAAAATGGACCAATTGGGGATGGACACCAGTTTTCCCTTGATTGACAGGTCCTCTAGCGCTGCTCTACTGGAGCCTCTGGGGGAAGAAAGCTCCCCTGCTTGCTCCAGCCTGCCGGTTACTTTGCCGGCTGCTGTCACCAAGACAAGGTGGCAGGTCCCCTCCCCAGGCCCTGCTCGGCTGAGCTGGCTGGGGTGCCACTTTTCCGGTATCACTTGGACATCTGCTCCCTGGGTTCTCTGGCTCCGCTTTAATCTGTGCCCTCAAGTGTCCTACTTGTTTGTTTGCTGACCCAGCACAAAGAGTACAACTCTGTTCTAAGGGGTTTATCAATAGGATTTATTTTTATTAGTCTCTCTTAGTGCCTACCTGGGAGGTGAGTGTCTTAGCAGGGGAAATGGAAGCCCAGGTGGTAGACTCACGTGTGTACCCACCACGTCTGGGCAGCAGAGCTTCAGTTGTCATGGAATATATGATTTAAAACTCTGTGTTCTTACAAAGCTTCGAAACACAGCCGGGCACAGGGGCTCACACCTATAATATTAGCACTCTGAGAGGCCAAGGCGGGTGTATTGCTTCAGCTCAGGAGTTCAAGACCAGTCTGAGCAAGAGTTAAGACCCTGTCTTTACTAAAAATAGAAAAACTAGCAGGCATTACCAGGCACCTGTAGTCCTCGCTGCTGGGGAGGCTGAGGCAAGAGGAGCTCTCCAAGAGATTGAGGTTTCTGAAAGCCATGATGATGCCCCAGCACTCTACCCAGGGCCATGGAGTAAGACTTTGTCTCAAAAAACAAAAACCAAAAAAAGCAAAAAGTAAAATATCAAAACACTTGACCCATTCTCTGATGTCAAGCGCTAGTATTTGCTGGTACAATCTCTATACGTGTTGAAATCTAGTCCAGATACCAGGCTATAAGGAATTTATCCTTTTTCAAAGCAGTATACTGGCACTTTCTTAAAGGGCTGTCTGTGAGAAGGTTTCGTTGTTGTTCCTGTTTTTCAGAAGCTTTTTTCCCAGCTGTTAACACCCTTTTCTTACCACTAGCTCCGCTGGTTCCCAGCCAGACGGTAAGGGAGGGAGGGAAAAGGCTGAAAAAAAATCAGCGGATGCTCCAGGCATTTTGAAAAGCCTTTCCTTGTTTTGAATCTCAGCCTCTCCCTTTTTGTCAACAATCTCCTCTTCTCCTGGCTTGGACCATCCTCCCAATTCATTTATCTTCACTCTGACGTTTCTCCCGCCTTGCGCGGGAACTTGCACCCTCACACGCCCCTTTATCCTTCCTTATTCTCCACCTTTCCCTTTTTTTGTATAATATCTGCTGGCGCTATCGATACCTGGACCTCAGAAAAAAAGTTAAGAGGAGTTAGAAGATTCAGCCAACGTGCTGGCAGGGTGACTTCCCTGAAGTCCGGGTTTAGCCCCACATGATTCCCTGTGTTATTCTGGCCAGTTTCCTCTGTGCCCCTCGATGCATGAGGAGAAGACACCCTTCTGCACAAGAAACCAGCTTGCCCTCTCTCCTTGTTTGTTTCTTCCTGACTCTACACACTGTGCGATACCAGAGTTTAGCAAAAAGACAATTGCTAACTAATGCGCCTTGGGGGTGTGGGGGCGGGGAGGGGTTCCCACTACATATTGATAAGCAGTGTGTACAGATCAAAGCAATCTCCATTCTTCCCTTTCTTTTTCTGTCTTCTTGTAAACTGACATGAAGACGTGTCTGGCTACAAATGTATCAAGCAAAATGCAGTGTTGTCAAAGGCGTGGGGGAAACCTTGAGAATCACAGTATCTGTGCTAGGAAGCGCCTCCTATGGGAAGCCTCCTCCACATCCTTCGGGCAGTTGTCTCCTTGAAGCCTAATGACAAGCTTGCAAGAGGACCACTGATAATTCCATTTTATAAACAAGGAAATTCAGAGATTTTTAGTGACTTGTCCACGATCACACAGCTGATTAACAGAGAATCTTCATCTTTAACTGTGATTCAAAAAAGTCTTGGTATTTTTTCTCCTGAATATTGTACTGTTTTATGTTATAAAACATCGAGGAAGGGGTCAAAAAGCAAATGGACATTGAAAACAGTGCCCCTCCCAAGAGGGGGCAACGTCTGTGCCCACAGGCAAGGTTTTGGGGGGGAGGGATAACCCTGTGCCTTTAACTCCACACTCACCTGAAGGCTAATTTGCCTACTTGAGTGGACACCTGTGCCTTCAAAGAAACTCCCTGAGTACTGTATTACTTCTTTTTTTTTTTTTTTTTTTTTTTTGAGACAGAGTCTTCCTTTGTCACCCTCAGTAGAGTGCTATGGTATCACAGCTCACAGCAACCTCAAACTCTTGGGTTCAAGTGATTCTATTGCCTTAGCCTCCTAAGTAGCTGGGACTGCAGGGGCCCACAACAACGCCCAGCTGTGTATGACTTCTTAAAATCTTCTGGCGTTCTTCTCAGTCTATGCTAGCATCTCACAGTAGAGAGAGTATGATTTTAGGAGTCAGATTTCTACCTTAAGCCAAACTCTACTTATCAGCTTACTGAGCAGCCTTGGGGAGGTGAACTGACCTCTCTGGCTGTCAGTATTCTCACTCTGAAAAATAGTGATCACTAACATTCCCGACATTTGTTGAGCACTTAATATATTCCAGGCACTGTTCTGTGTACTTTAAGAATTAATTCAAGAGCCAGGCACAGTGGCTCATGCCTATTATCCTAGCACTCTGGGAGACTGAGGCAGGTGAACTGCTTGAGCTCAGGAATTCGAGACCAGCCTGAGCAAGAACAAAATCCCATCTCTAAATACTAGCCAGGCATTATGGAGGGCGGCTGTAGTCCCAGCTACTCAGGCAGCTGAGGCAGGAGGATCTCTTGAGCCCAAGAGTCTGAGGTTGCTGTGAGCTGTGATGCCATGGCACTCTGTAGAAGGTGACAAAAAGTGAGAATCTGCCTCAAAAAAATAAAACAAAGAATATTAACTCACATAATCTTCACGAAAAAATGATGAGGTGGGTTTTATCATTTCCTTCATCTTAGCAGAATCTTAGGGGACAGAGAGTAAGATAACTTGGATTCGGCGGACTAATTCCAGCCCAGTGGCTCTCCAACACCAGTGATTTTTCCTTGCAAGGGACATTTAGCAGTGTTTGGTTGTCTGAGCTGCCGGGTGCTGCTGGCATCTGGTGGATGGAGGCCAGGCTGCTCTGATATCCCCAGAGCACAGGGCCAAGCCCCCTAGTAAAGAGTGATGTGGGCCCCAAACATCAAATGGAGACCTCAGTCTTGCTGCAGAGCCCAAGCCCTTCACCCCTGGGCTGCCTCTCACTTGAAATCACCAGGATATGCTTCTCACAGGGTTCCTATGAAGACAGAAGATAATTAACATTGAGGGTCACTCGTCCAGCACCTAACAGCCTCGGCATCTCCCCCACCCCAACCTTCCGTTCCTCTCTCCCAAGGGGAACCGGGTCAGAAGACATCTAGATGGCCCAGCTCTGCCTCGCAGAGTGACACAGTCCCGATTAGCACCGTGGCCGTTGCACGTAAGACATCTGGAGACCATTATTAATCCCTGAACTTCCCAGCTCAGTTGAATAAGCACTGTTTATGTTTGCTTTTACAGTTGACTTGGGAAGAAGCATCAAGGAAGATAATGTGGCCACTTCTTCCCCCAAGACGACGGCGACGAACGCTGCTGCGGATGCCAACGGAAAGAATCTTGGGAAGGAGGCCAAACCCGAGGCACCAGCTGCTAAATCGAGTTTTTTCTTGACGCTCTCTCGGCCTGTACCAGGACGTACCGGAGACCAAGCCACGGATTCATCCATTGGGTCAGTGGCGCTCAATGTCAGCTCCAGCGAAGCTTCGGCAGACAAAGGCCCGAGTGACAGCCGGGCGCTTCCGGGAGCAGGTGCAGCCGGCCACGCAGCAGATAAAACCCCCGGGCCCGCCACGGCCGGCCACCAGGCCCTCCCCGCCGCCACGTGGGACCCCGCGCCGCTCCCACCGGAGGCCGAGCGAGCAGCGCCCTCCAAGCCCAAGGACTCCAGCTTTTTTGAAAAATTCTTCAAACTGGACAAGGGACGGGAAGAGGTGCCTGTGGAGAGCCGGCAGGACCCCGAGAGGGCGGCGCGCCCAGGCGAGGAGGGCGAGGTCCCTGGAGCGTCTGGCCTGTCTCATGCTGCCCCCGGAGGGAAGGTGAGTGCCGAAAGGACGTGCTGGGGGTCGGGTGGGTGCCGGGGGTGAGACCGCTGCACTCACATCAGCTCACCCAGCACCCCCAACATTGACCCTTCTAGAACAAAAAATACATTGTGGCGTGGTGTCACCCACAGAAACACGGGTTTAAAGGACAGCGACAGCGGTAGTGTCTGTTTCTTGTGAAACAAAAGAGGCCGTGCCTTACCTGGGACGAAGTCGCCCTTCCATTTTTCAAAGGCAGAAGCAGACAGGTCCCGTTTTCCGTCGTGCAGTCTGGAGGGAAAGGCGTGAGCCGGCACGAACGCGCTCCTGAGAGACCCTCCTGGGTCTGTAGTCAGCTGACGGGCAGCGTGGTCACGGGCTATGGTCGGGACACAATTCAGCTCACTCCTACTGATCTTTACCCACCTTCTGCACTGAGGCGGGGGTTCACAGAAAGGCCTTTTACAGCTCTGGGCAGGCTCTTTTGTGCACTAATTATTTTCCAACAAGCTGGAGTAATACCTTTGTGAAAACCTGATTTTTTTTAAAGGCCGTATCTTGAATCAGTTCTTTCTTTCCTGAGCCAAGAGAGGCCGGCTCTTTTTGACATTAAAGAGAGCATTTGCTTTTAAACTCCAGAGAGCTTATTTGTATTCAGGGCAGGAAAAGAGCTCCTTAGAGGAAAAAGAGAGTAAAACTTGATACATTATATTTTTAAGGCACCCATCTCCTTGATTAACAGACTTTTAAACAACATTATTATTTTTTCAGTACTTGGGAATGAAGTTCAGGGCCTCTAGTTTAGTTTAGAACCAGGAAAAAAGAAGACGTGTTCAGTTTTTTGTGCCATAGTTGGCTGTCTCTGCTCTCAGCGTATTTGCCTCAATGCCAACACGCTATCCTCTGCCAAGATGTTGACAGTAACGGGCTACAGTTTACTGAGCACTTACCCTCTGCCAGGCTCTGACCTAAGCACTGTATATGAATTATTTTCCTTATTGAAAATAAGTGTCGGCTCGGCGTCTGTGGCTCAAGTGGCTAAGGCACCAGCCATATACACCTAATGTGGTGGGTTTGAAGCCAGCCCAGGCCCACCAAACAACAATGATGGCTGCAACCAAAAAAAAAAAAAAAAAAAAAAAACTAGCCAGGCGTTGTGGTGGGCGCCTGTGGTCCCAGCTACTTGGGAAGCTGAGGCAGGAGACTCTTGAGCCCAGGAGTTGAAGGTTGCTGTGAGCTGTGATGCGACAGCACTCTACCCAGGGGGACAGCTTGAGGTTCTGTCTCTACAGAAAAAAAAAAGAAAAGAGAGAATGAGTGTCACGTAATCTCTGGTTATAACACGCCCAATATGGTATCAAAAATTATGCTGTGGGGCGGTGCCTGTGGCTCAAAGGAGTAGGGCTCCAGCCCCATATGCTGAAGGTGGCAGGTTCAAACCCAGCCCCGGCCAAAAGCTGCAAAAAAAAATTATACTGTATACTCTGGGCAGTTAAAATTGGAAAAAGACAATAAAGCTTATATGTTTAGGTTCTTACTGTTCTTGCTATTTCTTTTTTATTTTATTTTATTTATTTATTGAGACAGAGTCTTATTGCCACCCCCTGCCCCTGGTAGAGTGTGTTGGGTCATAGCTCACAGCAACCTCAGACTCTTGGGCTCAAGTGATCCTTTTGCCTCAGCCTCCGGAGTAGTTGGGACTACAGGTTGCCTGCCACAGCGCCCGGCTACTATTAGAGACAGGGGTCTCACTCTGGCTTAGGCTGGCCTCGAATTCGTGAACTTAGGCAATCCACCTGCCACGGCCTCCCAGAGTGCTGGGATTACAGGTGTGAACCACCGCGCCGGGCCTATTCTTGCTGTTTCTATAGATTCTAACTAAAAGAACTTATTTTCAAAATTCCTTTCAGATGTATAAAAAAATTTTCTTTCAAATACCCGTTTTGCAAAATGTATCATGCATGAAGCTGGTTCTGTAGTTTTCTGTATAATTCCAAAGTAGTAAGTCTTCTGGTGCTGTCTGCTCTTTACTGAGTGTGACACTGTTCCAGGCACAGGTGAGGCACAGGGACCATGGCGGTGGACAAGGCAGGGTCCCTGCCATTGTGGTGTTTACTGTCCAGTGAGAGAAGATGAATAAATAAACCTGCAACTGTCACACGTGCTCTTCTGGAGAAGTGGAGGGTTGGAGAGGCTGCCTCGCCTGGAGTAGAACTAGCCTCACTGGCCCAGGGAACATTCCATCCCATGCGTAAACCAGGAGCCTGGAAATGACTTGTTTGGGGTTTACAATCCAGACAACTCTGCCATGACTGCTCATTCATATTAATGAATATTTCAGAAACAGTTCACTACTTGTCCCTGAGTAAAGAAACTCTCCCTGAGTTCTCATGATTAGTCATGAGCTGCTAAAACCATTCTGAGGTTGTGATTGTTTTGAATAGTCATGGGTCTATTTTGCCTGAGCATCCAAAGCTAATCCATCCCTGACTTAGGAAAAGATGGAGTTATTTATGGAAAAACAATGAAAGACTGTGCTTTACCCATCTCTGGACAGGTATGGAGTGTCCCATTCGAATCCCCGTCTTCATAAAGTAAACCAGTTCAGCATCTGATTACCAACTCTCAAATGTGTGTAGCCGTGAAATCTTAGTACACTCAATCCGTGTCTAGTTCTAGAAAAAGTTTTAAAGTTCTACTTTATTAACTCAGCTTCCTCTGTTGAAAAAGAACTCTTAGGAACAGCACTTTGATTTGAGGGGAATGAGTTCCAAAATGAGATTTGAGTCAGACGAGGTGGGATTGTGTCAGGAACACAGCCAGTACCCACCAGAGTCAAGCCCCTGTGTAACATTTTGAAGTTACAACCACGTCTCAAAGGTCTAGAAAAAACATAACCTGTCTTCCTGCTTGAATCAGTGACTTAACTCCCTCGGATTCACCAATGAAATCTGCATCTGATTTTGTTACACTACAAATTTCAACTTTCATTGGTGTTATCATTGAACATTGAATGATTGAATCCCCTCTGTGTAGGAAAGTTATGAAATAGCTGTTTTGTCCTTCAGCCTGTGAACTTAGGAATATTCAAATATCTGCAGGGATTTTTTAACAACAAAAAATAAATATAAAACCATCCCTGGATGGATAGTTCTATAGATGGGGGAAAAAAACAATTTTTCTATAAGTGTAAATAAGAAAGTCCAGCCTTTGGAAAGTAATAGGAGTAAAATGTCTCGGTCGGTGGTTTTCTTCGTGGGAGGGCCACATTGGACATTGATGGATGTCAGTGCATTGATTTAGAATTCGTAGGGTAAATTATGCCTTAGGCTGGACTGTGTCAGCTCCCAGACCCCCACTTACCGCACCCCACCCCCCCAGTTTCACCCCATGCTCCTCACTGGTTTGGAATTCCAACCACAAACCCGCAGAGCTGTGAATTGGGAGAAAAGATGCCACCATTTCATTCTGGGGGAAAACACAAATCTTCTGTGTTTTCAAAATGACAATCTTATTTCTGTGCCTTATAAAACTACATTCAGAGCATAGCATAATTAAAACAAGGCAAGAATTCATGAACAAATGAAGCATTTACTCCATAGGCCAAAGAAAAGATAAATTATATGCTGAAAGGTTTCACTGAGCTGTGATTCACACAAACCAACGTGTTGGCAAGGATGAATTTTTTTTTTCCCCAACAACTGAACCATAGCTATAAGATAGGCATTGAAAAGACTCATCACAGAAAAAAAAAAATGGTCGCATAATGAAAATTTGACCTTTATTGGTTAACAAAAACCATTAAGTGTCTATTGACAGCATGCTGTTTCCAGAGGTGTCTTTGTGTCGTGTGAAGCATTGCCATGTACAGATTCATAAGATTTAAGAAAAATCTTCCTTTTCTTTAAAGACTCTGATTAAATGCTGCGATTGTTATTTAAGCACCAAATTCCTGCAAGGCGTTTGAAAGATAAAGTGGTGCCCCTAGTCCTTCAAGGAGGATGCAATCTCGTAGGAGACAATTTCTTGAAGGGACATTGTGTTAAGTGCAGTGGTTTTCAGATCGGCTCCTGCGCCAGATTCTAACAATATTTAGTGTTTGGGCTTCTCCTTTCTTTTCTGTCTTGAACACATTTCCATCAGGTTTCTATCAGAGTCACCTTGACGTTGCACCTCCCCCGACCCAGCTGCCAAATGCAGTAAGTCTCAGTCCAGGCCCTATGAGATCTGACCTGCCAGTGAGGCTGACCCAATGAGCCACATTTTTCTTTTGAAACATCCCCTCCCCTCCCCCACCAGGCTCCCTCCTTCATCTCCTTCCCTGAATCTTAGCCTCCAAATGTAAGACTTCCCCGGGGCTCAGTTCTTGGACGTCTTTTCTAACTAGTCTACTTCCTTGAAGATTTCCCCCGGTACCCCGGGTTTAAACATGCTGACAAGTTCCCAGTTTATACATCTCTAGCCTCTGTCTACCTCTGAAGTCCAGACTTGAGCGTCCAGCTGCTTCCTCTTCCGCCTGTCTACTTGAATTCCTGCATCTTCGTTTGAATGCTCACTGAGCATCTCAACCTCAATATGCCCCAAATTGAACTAGTCATTCACCACCTAACAGCAACAGCAAGATGTCCACAGTTTAATTCACAGGGACCCCGTCTCAGTGGATGACACCTCTGTCCTGCCACTGTAGTTCAGTGGTAGAGTCAGAATTAGAGAACCAAGGTCTGCAGAATCCTTCTATGCATGGGAGGAGATAGTGAATTAAACATCAGCCTCTGCAGTCAAGTAGCCTAGATTTCCACTGTGCCTTTATCACCTACGGGCTGGGTTACCTTGGGCAAGCTACTTAACCTCTCTGGGCCTCCCTTACCTCAGCTGTACAGTGGAGATAATAGTATTAGCATATGGTCATCTTAGTCACACTGTGAGAACTAAATGGGACAAGCCATGGGACGTATTTCCCTACAGCCTAGAGAAATGGCATTTTCAGAAAAAAAGAAAAAAGCGAGCCTAGAATG